AAGAAGATTTATATTTTGTAGTTTCGCAAGTTTGGCATTACTTCCGAAAACCATAAATTTGCATTTAGAAGTGTTAAGAGTTAAACAGTTAGCACCAAACCAACGAGATAAGTTCTGTAGGTCAGAGTTTAGCTTTTGTTCCAATTCAATAATGGTTTTAGCTGAGCAAAATAGGACTGTATCATCTGCATACAGGGAAATGTCACAGTTATTAACAGTGGAGGGAATTTCATTCACATAAATGAGAAACAGTAAAGGACCCAGTATACTTCCTTGGGGTACTCCGACATGTACTGGTTGAGTGGACGACTGTTCAAGGCCAATAGAAGTGACTTGAAAACGATTAGAGAGATAAGAAGAGAACCAGTTGATTGTTGGCTGTGAAAAACCAATAGTGCCAAGTTTCTGTATGAGACGATCGTGACTAATCGTGTCGAAGGCCTTCGAAAGATCTAAAAAAACTGCACCGGCGATAGATCCTTTGTCTAAATTATCCAGAATGTTGTCAGTGAAGTAGGTGAGAGCAATTGCCGTGGCTCTCCACGGAATAGAGAAAAGGGCGGAATCCAAATTGTTTCGGGGTCAGGATATTTTCATGAAGTAGATAGCTATAGACTTGATTATGAACAGCTCTTTCAAGTATTTTGCTAGCAGTTGGTAGAATAGTTATTGGTCTATAATTATTGGCAATTGCAGCGGTCACCGGATTTGAATAATACAGTTACTTTGCCACATTTCCATACAGCTGGGAAGACGGAGGTTGCTAATGACCGGTTGTAAAGTTTAGTCAAACTTGTTGTGATAACGTCAGCATAGTCCTTTAGCAATCTGGCACTGATGTTGTCCAAACCAATCGCTTTGTTTGTTTTAAGACTATTTAGTTCGGATTTAACAAAACACTCATCGATTACATCAAAAGCAAACATTACGCCAGATTCAAGATGGTCTTTACAAACGGTAGAGGTGATGGTAGACGTAACTGTGCGAAATTTATTAACGAGTGTTAAACCAATAGTCGAAAAATGATTATTGAGAATTTCGGAGATTTACCTGGGTTCGGTAGATGGACTTCAATACATGAAATGTTCGAGCTCGATTTACGTGAAGTAATTTCATTGAGGTGTTTCCAGAGAGTGTTTGGAGTATTTTTAGAGATTTCAATAAGATTAAGGTAGTATTCCGATTTACTCTTTTTGACTTGTCTATTTACGTGGGATTTCAAACTTTTGTATTTGGACCAGTCAGAAGGAGAATTAGATTTGGTAGCTTTACGGAAAGAGCGGTCGCGTTCCTGCACAGATGTTTTCAACTCAGATGTCATCCAAGGAACATGACAACCTTTTATCCTAGTTCGTTTCGTAGGGGCATGACGTTCTGCAACATCTAAGAACAGCTTATTCCAAAAGTTTACTGCGGTATTAATATCGGGGATTTCATCAACAATATTCCAGTCTATGTTCCTGAGCTCATCCAGAAATGCTTCTTTAGAGTAATGTTTGTAGGAAGTATATTTGATTGTTCTGCCAGGACTCTTTGTTACACCAGCCTTGACAACACAGTAAATGAGGGAGTGGTCGCTGATATGTACCGATAACACACCACTTGATACAATGCGGTGTTTGTTATTAACAAACAAGAGATCAATTGCAGTTGATGAGAGTTCGTTTATCCGCGTTGGAGTGTCGATGAGTCGGTTTAAATTGTTTGCACTAGCAAAAATATTAAGTCTTTGTTTTAGGCTGTGACTAGAAGTATTTCTTTTGGCAAGGACGTCAACGTTAAAGTCACCGAGTAAAACTAGTTCAACGTCAAGGGGAAGTAATTCGGAAAGAATACTGCGCGTTTTCAATATTTTGTCAGCTGGTAAACGAGCCTCCATTGTATTCGTGTCTAACTCGATGCCAGCAAAAGTCAAAATTGTGGAAGGGCCGATCGTTTTCTCAGGAGCGATTGGCACCCCCAAATGCTCGCACAGGGACAAAAAACCCTCAAGGCAGCAGGGGCGAAACTAACCCCTTTTGATTAGGGGGGTGTCTGCTAGAATTGCCCTACGAAACCGATGATGCCCTGCAGCAAAAAGAAATTGGGGGGGGAGGTCGAAAACATTTTTTCCGGACATTCAAAAAAGAGGCCAAAAAAATTTTCGGACAAAAACCAGTTAAATTAAAGGTAAAAAATTTTTTTTCGGACATACACCAGTTCAATTAAAGGTCAAAAAAATTTTTTTGGACAAATTCCAGTTAACATATGCATGAAACCCTTATTTATTTAACAATATCTGAAATTTAAAATCTTTCATTGCCCTGGCAATCCAGATGATTTGCCATAGAATATTGAGGCGGTGAATGAGTTGGTTTTTTTGAGAAACTATGAAAATCTTCGAATCTTTTCAATTCTTTTTAATTTCTTAAAATTTTCGACTAGATTTTCAGTAGTTTTGCCCGACCTTTTCTTAGTTTTTGCCCGACGAGAGTACCGTTTCGAAAGATTGGGGGGGGGTGAGACACCCCCAAACCCCCC